CCGCCGTACCGTGCCCCCTACCCCCCCCCCCCCCCCCCCCCCCCTCCTAGGTCGCACTCACACCCGCCCACGCCTGACACGCGCTTACACAGCAATGACATGGCTGCGGTGACAGAGATGCTGTGTGGAGGAGAGGCGACCGAACTTCAGAACGAGCTGGCTGCGCTCGCCTCGCCTATGGTGTGCGGGAAGCGATGGTCGACGCCTTCGGCGGCGTACAAGTGCAAGACGTGCGAGACCGACTCGTCATGCATTGTGTGTGTCGAGTGCTTCCAGGCCGGCAACCATGATGGCCATGACTACTATCTCATTCGGACTGCCGGTGGAGTCTGCGACTGCGGCGATGCCACCGCCTGGGATCCGGCCGGCTTCTGTGACGTCCATCGCGGTCAGTCCGAGGACGACGATCCCGCCGCCGTGCTCCCGCTCGACGTTGCTGCTGCCGGCACCGCCGTCCTCACCGCCGCCATCTCGGCATTGGTCGAGCACGCGCTCAACTCATCGCCGCGCGCAATCGACATTCTCAAGTGGCTGCTGGGCGTGCTCGAAGCGTTTGGCGACCCGCTCCGTCGCCTCTCGTGGGTGGCTGCGACGTCGGCGCCGGCCGTCGACACACCTGGCCTGGCCAAGCGTGCCGAGACTCCCAGCGGAGCCTCGCTTCTCGACTCGCTCTTCTCGCTCGAGGTGAGCGACGGCATTGCCTACCCACGCATCAAGCCGCTGCTCTTCGACCTCTACTACGAGTGGATCCAGGACCTCAAGTTCAAGTTTGTCTTTGCCGCCGCCCTCATGCCGTGGTACCCGCCACTCGCCGACTCGCACCGCCGTTCCGGCTCCGAGTGCGTCCTCTCGCTCTCGATTCAGATCCTAACCATCCCGGCCGTCGCTCTCCGTGTCGCCACCGAGAACAACGCCTTTGCCGTCATCCTCGACAATCTCACCGCCACCCTCGCATCGGCTGTCGACGACTCGGGCCCACGTGCCGTCATCCGTCCCTCGGCCTCGTACTTTTCCGAGATGCAGTTCCTCTACACGGGCCTCTACGACCTCGACTACATGCTCAACGACCCGCGCACCGCCGCCTACATGCTCTTCGACTCGCCGACTGCCGACGCCGACCTCCGCAAGTTTCTCGCCATCGTCGCCCTCGCCCAGGAGGCCGTTCCCGAGTCCCGCCGCGTCAACTCGCATGTTGAGCGCGAGTCCGACGACTGGATTCAGGTCTTCAACTTTGTTGCCATCCTCGAGACCATCTCGCTCAAGCTCCTCGCCGGTTTTGCGGCCGGTCCGGTCGCCGCGGCCTCGCCCGACGACACCGCCCTCGCATACGCCCGCGTCCTCGCCACATGCATCTCGGTTCTTGAGACATGGCTCGCCGCCGTCCCGGACTCGTTTGTCACCCTCGACACGCTCCCAGACCCGTTCACCGCGCTCGCTGGTCCTGGCCCGTACCGCATCATCGACTACGACGTGGCTTCAGCCCCGGTCTCGGTCTTCTATCCGCTCCATCGTGTCTTTGGCTCGTTCCTCGCCTGCGCTCTCTCCAAAACTTCGGTCTCCATTCTCTCCACCCTCCTCTGCCCGGTCGACAACTTGCCGTTCTGGCTCTCACTCGCCGAGGCGCCGCTCCGGGTCCTCGTCCTCTCGTCGCAGGCTCGTGCCGGCCTCTGGGTTCGCAACGGCTGGGCTCTCCGCGCCCAGCTCCACATGTACAAGGAGCGGTCAAAGACCCTCGCCCACGTCCATGACATCTCGCTGCTCCAGTGCATCGCCCTCCTTGTCGGCCCTTCGATCCTCCTCCCGCCTATCCTTGTCCGCTATGGCATCCTTGATGCCTTTTCCCACATCTTTGCCAAGCCAACCACAACTGCGCTCGGCTCGGCGCTCGCGTCGCTCCTCGGCGCGGCCGGGGAGGGCTGGGCCGCCGCCGCCAGCGCCAAGACGGCCGACTGGCTCGCGCCCACGGGCGCCATTGTCGCCGACTGCCTCGAGCTCCTCGCAGTGCTAGCTCTCGATGCCACTGCTGCCGACATTGTCCGCGACCCGGCCGCTGTCCTTGCTGACCAGATCCGCCATGAGCTCGCGGTCCAGCCGCTTGCACACTCCAAGCTTGTCAAGGCTCTCTCCGCCCACGTCCGCACTCTGTTCGAAGCCTCGGTCACTGCCCCCGGCGGCGACCCGCTCGATGCGGTCATCGACTCGGTTGCAGACTTTCATCGCCCTTCGCCGACAAAGTCGGGCGTCTACCGTCTCCGCACCGACCAGTGGGCCCGCCTCTCGCCGTTCTACACCGGCATCGCCACCAAGGAGCGTGCCTCGGTTCTAGAGAACTACTCTCTTGCCGCCGCCAAGCGCAAGGCCCGCCTCCCGCCCTCGCCTTGGCCGCAGCTTCCGTCGCCCGACTCTGTTCCCCGCGACTGGCTCGCCCTCCATACTGTCGTCGCTTCACCGCTAGTCATCGAGCTCGTCGCTGCTGTCTGTCTCGCCCCGCGCGCCCCGTTCCAAGTCGCGCTCAACGGCTTGCACATTCTCCGCATCGCCGCTTCCGCCCTCGCCATGGATCCACTTGTCCTTGGTGCCGACGCGCTCGACCTCGGCAACGAGGCCCATCTCGGGCTCCTTGCTGGAGTTCTCTCGCGGCTGGACGGCCTCGCCACGGCCCATGCCGACGTGCCGGCGGTTCCGGCGCTCATCGAAGCCGTCCGCGCCGCCATCCTTGCTCTTTCACCAGTCCAGGCCATGCTCGGCTCGACCACCGAAGGCAGCAGTGCCGGCGATGACGCGGCTTCCGCCTCGCCGTCGGCGTCGTCCTCGCCGGCCGACGCCGCCGCCGCCAAGCGACGCGAGCGTGCCAAGCGGCGCCAGGCCAAGATGATGGCAAAGTTTGCCAAGAAGCAGTCGGCCTTTGCCGCCGGCCGTGCAACCTCACCGCCGGTCGATGCCGGACCGCTCTCGCCAAGCGGTGTCGGCTCACCCGGTCTCGGTGACGACGACAATACCGCGCTCACTGCGCTTCGCACCAAAGACCCGCTGCTCGACACCTCGGACTTTGTCTGTGTTCTCTGCATGGAAGCCGTCGACGACTCGCAGCCGCTAGCCATGCTCACGCTTCTGGAACGCTCGCGGGTCCTCGCCGCTGCCACCTCGTCGACGCTTCGACACTTTGCGAGTAGCCATGGGCCGAGTGGCCAGGTCTGGCCCGAGCTCGCCGCCGTTCTCGACACGGCGGCGTCGGCATCGTCGGGCGCTATGTACGCCACCCCGCGTGCCGCCTCGCCGGCGCTCGAGTCTGAGCTCGAATCCGAGTCGTCAGCCGCTACCCGCTCAACCGCACCGACCTCACTCCTCGCCCCGCTTCCCGGCCGCACTGCCGCGGCCCAGGCGACGGCGACGGCGACAGCGACGGCGATGACGACGACGGCAGGTCTGGCGGTGACGAAGCTAACGCACTCGCTGACATGCTCGCTGTCTCGGCCGGTGACCTCATGGCCGGCCTCCGCGAGCGTGCTGCCGAGGAAGATCCAGTCATGGCCGACCAGCTCATGGCCATGCTCCAAGGCATGCTCGAGAACGCCGGCGGCGCGGGCCTCTTTGCCAATGCCCTCACCGGCGCTGCCATGGCCGCTGCTGCTGGCGGCGACGTCTTTGACGACGGCGACTCGGCTTCGGACTCGGGCGATGACGGCGACATGCCCGGCCTCATTTCCCACAACGACATTGCCCGCCTTCTCGACAACGAGGAGATGTTTGCCGCCCTTGCCGGACCAGGCCCCTCAGATTCGGACTCAGACTCTGGTGAGAGATCTTACCCTGGCTCGGATGACGACGACAATGTCGGTGGCGCCGGTAGCGGTGGCGCTGGTGGCTTCTTTGATGCGCTCTCGGGCGTGCACGGACTCGACGCGGACGACACAGGTAACAACCTTGGCTCGCCTGCAACAAGTGAAGCCGGCAATAGGAACGACAACGACGGGGACGACGACGATGCCAACGACGATGCGATGGCTGCCCGCAACACACCGCATGGCGTGCCGTCATACATGACCGGCGACGCAGTGACGGCGACTGGGTGCGGCCACTGCATGCACTCGTCGTGCTTTGAGGACTTTTTCTCGTCGCAGCTCGCTGAGCGCGGGCGGCAGCGCATGATTCGGTCGCTAATGGTCTCCCTCGAGCACGGCGAGTTTATGTGCCCGCTCTGCAAGTCGCTCTCCAACGCGCTCCTCCCGCTCACGTTTCTCCAGCGGCCATACGAGGCGCTGACGACTACGGCGGGCGCGGCGGCCGAGCCGATCAGCGCACCAGAGCTCACTGACGCAGAGGGCTCTGCACTGCAGTTCTTCTCGTCGCGGCTCTACCTCGCTGCACACCCTGAAGCCGACGCGTGCGAGAGCCCGCTCTCGCCTGTCAACGCGTACCTCGCGTGGGACGCGCTGGTCACCACGGTCACCATGCACGAGCTCGCGCTCCGGGCTTCGCCCAACTACAACCCGCGCGCGCCGCCGCACACCTGGCTCACCTCGTTTGAGCTCAACCATGTCAAGTCGATGGGCGCGCTTGCCGCAGTCCTCGCCGCCACTGCGGGAGTGCTTGTGCCCGCAGCGGCAGCGCGGGGGGCCTGGTTCGACGCCGCTGGCACGTCGCCGGGTGTGGTTGCGGCGGCGGCACGAACCGCGTCTATCTGGGCGCTCTTTGCGCACGCGGTTGAGTTTACGCCACCGGGCGCCGACGCGTACCGCGCCGTCTTGGCCGGCGCGTGGCAGATGACGGTGGCCGGCGCGGCGGCGCTGGCGGCGCGGCTCGGCCTCGCTGGCCCGCTAGCCGAAATGGTCACACCTTTTCTCCGCCGCGCCGCACTGTTGCAGCTGGCGTACGGGACTGGAAGCAGCGGAAGCGACGGATGGCAAGCCGGAAGCGATGAGGAGGCCGAGGCCGACGTCCTCGCGCGCAACCTCGGGCTACCGACCATGGCCGAGCTCGCCACCGGCCCGCCCGATACGCTCGGCTGGCTAGCGCACTTTGTCCGCGACGACGTGGCGGCATCAGGCAAGACCGAGGAGTGCGAGGCGACGTCGCTCTTTGATGAGCTCGGGCTCCGGGTTGAGCTGGACGGCACAACCGGCCTCATCGAGCCAGAGACATCGTTTGAAAAGCTGGTTCTTTCGGACAAGGCGTGCATCCAGTGCGGTGAGGTGAGTGGCGAGCGGGCGCTCTGCCTCACCTGCGGAAGCTGCCTCTGCGTCGCCAAGTGCGAGGTGCTCGCCGACTCGTTGGCCTCACCGCGGCCTGGCAACTGCAACCGCCACATGACGCAGTGCTCGGGCGACCTGGGCATGTTTCTTCTCTTGCGGACGTCAGAGATTGTGGCGCTGCGCCGAGTGTCGAGCGGGCGCGGGCCGACGCGCGGGACCAAGCTTGGCTCGATCTACCTCGACTCGCATGGCGAGCAGGACATCGGGCTTCGCCGTGGCCGCCCACTCCAGCTCTCAAAGCCGCTCTTTGCCCAGCTCAACCGCCAGTGGATCAAGGGCGAGGTCGGCATTCTCATTGCCCGCGACGTTGCCGCCCAGTCGCGAATCAAGATCGTGCCGTGGGACGCGTACTAGGCCCCACTATCACACTACGTTCATTCGACAAGCGCGGCGGCAGCTAGCTGCGTTTCCGCCACGAGCCGGCCGTCCGCGATGGCGACCGGAACGGCACCGGCTTGGTCGACTTGCTCTTGAGCGAGCCGACACTCCGGCCAGAGACGAGGCCGTGCGAGAAGCTTGGCGAAGTAAACGACGGCGAAACGGTGGAAAACCCAATCGAGAGTGTGTTGCGCGGCGGCGACGACGAGAGTGACGGCAGTGGCGAGGTGGCGCCCTGGCCGCCGCCGCTTCCCGGGTGGAGACTGTTGTCGCTGCCGGGTGTGAGCGACGGGAGTCTCCGCCCCGCGCCCGACGGATACTGGTGGTGATGGTGGTGGTGCGAGGAGTGAGGATGGTGGGGGTGGTGCGAGTGAGGGTGCGGGTGCGGGTGCGGGTGCGGGTGGGCGGCACGTGGCTTGGACGACGTCATTGTTGGCGGAAGGCGGGCGTGGTGCGGGGCCCACTTTTTGGCCATGACCGGGTCGGGCGTGACCGAGAGGGGAGGCGTGGGCGAGACAGCCGAGACGACCGACGGCGTGGCGTAGCGCGGCGGGACGGATGGGACCGATCCGGGACCGACGGTGCGGCCGGGATCAAGCCGGAGTCGGTGCGAGCCGCGCTGTGGAACCGGCGGCGGCGGCGAGCGGGCCAGCGGCCGCGGCGAGACCGAGACTGAGAGCGAGGGCGAGATAGATCGTGGTGGCGACGAAGTCGACGGCGACGAGCCGCTGATACCGAGGCCGACGTTGACACGGTTGATCGAGCGCCCGGGTGTGGTTGTGCCGCCCCCGCCTGTACCAGTGTCGGCGGCTGGACGGAGCCACGTCGACCGCGAGGCCTGGGTTGGAACCGGGAGCGACGGTGAGGGCCCGCGCTTGGCCTCGAGCAGCGACGGTGGCGGCGAGACTGAGCGCGAGCGCGGGGCGCGGGCGGCAATGGCCGTCGAGGCAGCGGCCGACGATGCGGTCGACGACGACGACGAGAGCGACGAGGCCGACGACGAGCGCGGGCGGCCTCGGCCGTTGGCCGGCCCCGGCCGCGACGCCGATGACGACGGCGTGATCGGAGCTGCTGGCGCGGTTGGCGGCGGCTTGGGCGGAAGGGCGTTGGAGACCGAGAGCGCAGACTCTGGCTCTGCGGAAGTGGCTGGCGGTGGCGGCTGCCGGCGCCGCGGCCGCTGCTTGCGCGATGCTCGCGACCGGGCGCGCAACGCAGCGTAGCCCGAATCGCGCTCGTCGGCAGCGAGGGCGGCGAGCTGCTCGCGGTGGAATCGTTCCGCACACGACCGCAGGTACGGGTGCTTGAGGAGCTCGGCCGCGGTGGAGCGCGATGACGGCTCGTACGCGAGACAGGCCGAGAGGAACGAGAGCGCCTCGGGTGAGAGCATGGGGAAGCGGGCAGTGAGGCCCGGGGCCTGGTCAGGCGGTGGCGCGTCTGGCAGGTCAAAACCCTCGTAGAAAGGGTTCGATGAGAAGGCTGTTGCTTGGTCTGACGGCAAGCTGCCGAGCAAGTCCATGATCGACGAGAGCTGGTCGAGGTCCGAGTCACCGGCAAAGAGTGGCTCGCCGGTGAGGCACTCAGCAAACATGCAGCCGATGGCCCAGACGTCCACCTCGGCGCCGTAGTGGTCGTGGCCGACAAGCAGCTCGGGCGCCCGATACCATCGGGTTGCCACGTACTCGGTGTACTTGGCTTCGGGCCCCGAGAGCTGGCGAGCAAAGCCAAAGTCACACAGCTTGAGCACGCCGTGCTTGGTGATGAGCAGGTTCTCCGGTTTGATGTCTCGGTGAACCACGTTGTGTGCGTGGCAAAAGTCGACCGCCCGCAGCAGCGCCCAAACCATTCGCTTCACCTCATCCTCCGGAAGGCCCTGCGGGTTGGCGTCCAGATCTTCCAGCACCGTCCTGTCGTTATTGTGACGGAGGTTGTCGTCATTCTTGGTGAGTCATTGCCATCGATCGCAGCAAGATGGCCATCGAGCGGATGGCGGGCAGCGCACCGGGTGCACAACATATGCCCACCCCTACCTCCACCCGATAGTCTCAGCCACCAACCCACCCCAGCCCACCCGCATCGTGTCGCCCATCGCCTCTGCACACCATTCCCCCTGAACCGCCAAAGCCACTCCCCCTTCCCCCTCCCCGAAAACAAGTGGGAGATGATGAGGGATAAACAAGCATGGGCGAGGGCATAGATTGCGTCTCGGGGGAGCCAAGCAGAGGGTGCATGCGTGTGTGTGTGTGTGTGTGTGTGTGTGTGTGTGTGTGTGTGGTCGGGTGGGGTCGTCGGTGGGTCGGCGGGACGGACGGGACGGTAGGTCCGGGGG